TAAAAGATCCCATGTTTTCTGTTTTACTATTCTACAATATCTTTGGAAGGAAAACAGCACTTTCTGATGATAAGTAGTAAATTTCCTATTGACAAAATAATAATGTTATTTTTTAAATGTTATTTTACAAAATCAATTATTTGAGAAAATACCTAATGCCCAGGTATGCCTTTAAATGCTTTTTGACATTCATAATAATTTATACATATGAAAGATTATTGAACACGCGTGGAACAGTTCCTGTAAGAATTCAGACCCAGCAGTTGGAAACTAGTGAGTCCATACCTCACTATTACAACAGAGACCTCTTTTTATTTAAAATTTTTTTTATTTGGAAATAATTTCAGACTTAACAAAAAATTGAATTTAAAAATAATACTATATGGGACCAGGAATTTAACTCAGTGGTGCTGCTCCTACCTTGCAAGCGCAAGGTCCTGATTTCCATCTCTGGTACCAAAAAAAAAACCCAATACCAAAACTGTATGTGAATACTATATAGATGTATATATGCATATATATATTACTATATACATTGACTTTTTCCTGAATTGTTTGATAATAACCTTATAGCTCTTTTTGTTTGTTTGTTTGTTTGTTTTTTGAGATAGGGTCTCACTATGTAGTTGAAACTGACCTGGAACTCACTATGTAGCTCAGGCTGGTCTCGAACTCACAGCAATCCTCCTGCCTCATCCTCCCAAGCGCTGGGATTACAGGCGTGCACCACCACGCCCGGCCGACCTTATAGCTCTTTAGCTATAATCTCAAGGTATATTTCTCTTACACAACCCAAGTACAGTTATGTTTTATATCCCAATTTTGTCATTTCATATCAATTCAAAATTTGGAACTCACTATGTAGCTCAGGCTGGTCTCGAACTCACAGCAATCCTCCTGCCTCATCCTCCCAAGTGCTGGTATTACAGGCGTGCACCACCACGCCCGGCCGACCTTATAGCTCTTTAGCTATAATCTCAAGGTATATTTCTCTTACACAACCCAAGTACAGTTATGTTTTATATCCCAATTTTGTCATTTCATATTCCAATTCAAAATTTCCACATTTTAATATTATAATTTTATCCGTTACCCTAATAGTATTCGTTACAGTCATCCTCCTCCACTTTAGGGTGAAGTATTGCATGCAGTTAGCACATCTCCTTAGCCTTTCATCTCTTGATTGTGGTAGGGGTGGTCTTGGTTCTTTACTTACCACAGTCTTAGTCGGGTCATCGCCACCCATGTCTTGTCTGTGGCAGCCAAACTTGGCCTTGAATGGTCTTGAGGAAATTCAGGTGAAAGGTAGACAAAGGTTGAGAAGATACGTTGAAACTGGAAGAAAGATTTTGAATAAAGTTTTGTGTGGTTTGCTAGATGTCGGCTGGAGATTTGGCATTAGGATTTCTAGAAGCTAGTTCATAGTGAGAAATACCAGTGCCTTGATTTACAGTGCCCTAAAGGTAAAAACAAACTAACTTTACATGGAAAGTATTGTTTGACCTAGTATCAAGATCTGAGAGACTTATGTCCTTTGAGTCTTTATAAAGAGGATTATTGATTACATTCTCAACAATGCCTTTACTATAAATAGAACAGTAGCTTCATAGGACTTTTTATAATGTCCCTTCATGTGGGCCAATTGCTTAATACTAAGTATATTTCTGTGAGGGCTGAAATCATTTGATTTTGTGCCTGTTGTTCATGATTATGCTAGGGTAAAGTTGCACATTAACAATTTATAGAACCCTTCAAATGAGATTTTGTGAGGAAGAAGTGGAGTTGAAGTGGGTGGTATGTGTAGAGTACTACTAGTTCAGCTCCCTTTCTCATTTTTCTGAGAGTTTACAGAATAACTAGAGCCTAGAGCACATTGTAAAGGTAAATGTGTTCTGAAATAAATGGTGAATTGTGTATCTTCAGGTGGCTGTCTACATATCTATCTACCTGAATTGAATTTTGATTTTGTCTTCTGTATTTCAAATACATTATTTTAAATTGTCACCCATTAAAAAATCTATTTAGTATAATTTCCTTATTCTCAGAAAGGGCTTTTCCCTTTATTTCACCAGTAAGCTGACTGTATTTGATATAAAAGTAAAAATGATACAAAAGTCCAGCTTATCTACATGTGTCAAAGAAGGACATGATCCTTGTTTAATGCTGGAGTCTCCACTGCCCTCTGGAGCCTATCATTTCCTTTAGGATGGTGCCTCTTGTTCTTCTGGGGCCATTGTTTCCTCCTCTCTTCTAGCCTTGTCCTAGTCTTGAAATGAAGCCCTGTACTTCCCATGCAGCCTCTTTGCATTCCAACTCCCAGTGCTCCCATGTCTTTTGCTAAGCTGTTTGAAAACTACAGTTAGTTCACATTTGCTGTATTCACTTTACTTCCCATGATTTTCGTTAAAAAATTTGTGTATGCAAAACTATGTTGAAATAAAATAGTGAACATCTTTTTACCACGGACTTTAAGAAAGAATATTGCAGGGCTGGGGATTTAGTTCACTTGTTCTACTGCCTGCCTTGCAAGTGCAAGGACCCAAGTTCGATCCCTGGTACTAAAAAATAAAAATAAAATAAAATAATACTTATATGTGTGTGTGTGTATATATGTATGTGTGTGTGTATATATGTGTGTATATATATATGTATGTATAAAAAATAAAAATAAAATAAAATAATACTTATATGTGTGTGTGTGTATATATGTATGTGTGTGTATATATGTGTGTATATATATATGTATGTGTGTGTGTGTGTGTGTGTGTATATATAATGTCATTGAAAACTCTTATGTTTTCTTCCTCCAATGTTTATGTAGTTATGTTTGCACACAATGAATATACTTAATGCTTCAGAACTGTCCACTCACAAATGCTCAGGGTGATGTTCTGTATGTTTTACCACAATTACAAAAAAAATCTTGCTAGTCTGGACTTGAAATTAAGGTGCTTTTTATCTGTTTTATCCCTAAGTACTAGGGACTTCATGTGCTAAATATCCATTTATGGCTTTTCTCCCCTCAGAATATTTCATGTTTTCATCTTCTGCACATTTTTCTATTAAAGTGTTTGCCTTTTTGTTATCAATTCTTGGAAGTTCTTTATCTGGATAGAAGCCTTTCATCAATTATATGTATTGCATAAATTTTCTTTTAGCTTATGTCTGTCTTTATATTTTTTAAATTTTTCCTTTTATTAATAGAAACTTTTAATGTAATTGAACTTTTTTTCTTTTAAGTTGCTTTCTGGTGCTTGCTTCAGCAGCACATACACTAAGATGTTCTTTTTGTTTTCTTAAGAAATCTTTTGTAGGAAAAGATCTTCAAGGTATTCACCTATTTATTTTCTAAAGGTTTTAAAGTTTTATTTTTCATACTTTGGTCTATATTCTTTCTTCCTGAGTATTTTATGTTTGGTATGAAAGTATTCAGTTTAACCATATAGCTAGTCAGTTTTTTCAGTTTCATTTCTTGCATATTCCTTTCTCCCCATAGGCCTGCTGCATCACCGTGTGCTGTATACATATAAAGCTCGCAGAGATGCCTGAGTCTGTTTCTGCACTCTCTGTGCCGTCCCCTTGACCAGTCGCTCCTTACTGTACCAGTGTTACACTCAGAGCTTTGGTTGTCTGGTTGAGCAGGCCCCATTCTGATTCTTCTCCAAAATTGGCTCATTTATTTTTGGTTCTGTCCCCTTCTGTGAAGGTTTAGAAATCATTTATCAAACTTACAGTGGGATTTTGATAAGAAATGTAGATATAACTCATTATGTAATTTTAGTTTATTCTAGAAATTGTGTAAATACTGAAGCCTCAGAGTATCCAAGTCTGTAGTTTATTAAAAAGGAGAATTAACCAGTCATCCAAAACTGCAAATGATTTCCTCCTAGTTACAAAATCTTCTTACACCTATATAAGAACACCCCAATTTTTTTGTATAATAGCATTTAAAACACCAATTACTTAGTTATTTATACTTACTGAACTCTAGTAGATACGTTCAGTTATTTCTTCTACACTGCTCTAAACAAGTACCATAATGTAAATAAACTGAGAAAATATGTTTAAGATACATGACACATGAAAATACCTTTTAGCTAATAATCAGGGCCATTTAAAAACTGATAATGTAGCGACTGAAAAACTACTCATATGAGATTTGGTGATGAGAACTAGGAAAGGGGCTGTAATGACACTGTTCAGCAAAGTTGAGGTGCTTTCTGGCGCCAGCCAGCAGATGGGTTCACTAGTGGATCCAAAGAAGAGCTAGATGGTTTTTTTCCACTTCTGAAATCCTAGAGGTAGGTAGATGGCTGTGAACCATTATCTAAAACCTTAGATAAAGCAGTGGGATAAAAATAATCTTACAACAAATGTCTCTTTATGTTCCCTTTGCTTACAGTCACACAGTGTGAATGTGAGATATGATCATGCACCTACTAAGTGTGGTGAACAGTCTTGTTTAGATTTGTAAGCACCTTAGGTATGCACTCATGCAATTCCTGATGGAGATTTTTTTAAAATAATGATTCCCAAGTTAAAAAAAAAAGTACAGGTTGTACCTAATGCTTTTTTTCATTTTCCTTTTCTTTTTTGGGGGGTGGATGGTAACAAATACTCAGGAAAACTGAAATGAGAAACATAGGATATATAAACTTAGAGAAAGTTGACCCTTTATAATATTGGAGCTTCTATCCATGACCATGATTTTATTTCTTTACTTATTTAGATCTGTAATTTTAGTTACAAAGAGACAAGGTATGATCAAAATATACAGTGAATATTTAACTTTAAAATGTTTTATTACAGTAAAAGACACATTGCCATTAACGCCCCTCAAAATATTCCCTCTATTTTGAAGACACTTTTCCCATCATTCTTGCCACTTTCTGAATCAGTTCTGGAAGTTCTCTTTTGTTAGAATCTTTAGAAAATAAAAGAGTGAGTGCTGCAGCCAGGTGCCATCTAATGCTAAGGCAGGCTTGTAAAAATATTACATCGCCCTGTGGTTGCTGGAGGCTGTTGAACAGTGCAGCATTCCAGTGGGTACAGTGGGCCAGAGCAGTCCTGTGATTTTTGCATGGGAGCTGTGTTTCCTCAGCAGCTTCCATAGCCCGGTCACTGGTACATGGCATTCTTCCTGAAATAGTGCTGTTACATTGGGTCTTTGTGTGTGGCATAATATTATTGTGATTCTTAACCCTTTTGGGGCAGCAGAGACAGCCTAGAAAATGTAATGAAAGTTACGAGCCCTGTTCTAAGGCAGCTTAAGTTGTTTCAAAAGAAACATTCAGACAGATATCCCTGAATAATTGTCAGGACAGTGTGAGAGTGTGTACTAATTCCTGAGGGATCTCATTGAAATGCAGGTACCGGATCCTAGGTCCAGGTTGAGGCTGGGGAGTCTGCATCTCTAATAATCTCCCATGGTCAAGGGCCATCATAGAGTAGATTAGAAATGATGGACACAAATGTGTGGATATCTAAACATCTTATTAGCCTTCAGATGCTAGTGTTTTTGTTAGCCTCTGATTAGGTATCCACTGAACTTAATAAATCAGTAAATGAAGAAATTAACATTTATTTCTATCCTCAGAAGTCTAGAGATTGTAATAAACAGTTGAATATCTAAACTGCCTTACAACTTCTGTGTTGTTTAGTGATGCTGATTGGAAATGGCTGCTTCACTTAGTTAAATGTTCCATCTGTGCTTGTCTTATTTTTTCTATATAAAATCCAGAGACACTCTCATATGTAAAAAATGAGAATGAAGGAGAGGGAAAGGCACTACTTGTACAAACTATTTCATATGGCCTGAGTCACTTGCTGTGCTTAAACTGTGATGCTTTTGATGCTTTCAGAACTGGTGGAGTTATATAGGGGTCTTCTCTTCTAGAGTCAGTTACCCCAGACTGTGGTGATTCTGGAAAATGATTTTCCATTTTCCTATTGTTCTGAAATTAGCAGTCTTATTTTCCCTTCTAATCTGTCAGCGACTTGATCACTAATCTTATTAGAAATTTAAGTAAATAGACTGAGGATCAAGAAGATCTAGGATACTTGACAGTGTCAGATTGATCAAGTGTCTCTGTAAGGTTATTAGCAAAACTTTTTAAAAAGACACTTTAAGACTTCTTGTACTACCTGGGCTTAGTGGCACATACCTGTTAAACTAGCACTGAGGATGCTGAGATAAAAGGATCACTGCAAGTTCAAGGCTAGTGTGAACTTAATGAGAACGTGTCTTAAATTTTTTTTTTTCTCTCTGTAGAGACAAATCAGAGAGGTATAGGGCTTTTCTGTTACAGAAATTATGAATAAGTAGTAAAAGGAATAAAATGGAAAATTGGGAAACTGTTTGAATGTAAGATTCTTTTTATTGTCCATCCCCCTTTGTGGTATTGTGAATTGAATTCAGAGCCTTTACCTTGAGTTATATCTCAAAGCCTCTTTTATTTTTAATTTTGAGGTGGTCTTGCTTGCTGAGTTCCTCAGATGGGACTTGAACTTGGAATCCTTCTGCCTTGGCCTTCCAGAGTGCTGGGATTACAAGCTCCCAGCTAGCTTTAATTTTTTAAAAGAAGTTTTTCTAATTTTCCTCCGAAATAATCTCAGATTATTTCAGAAGAAGTGCTTTCTTAATGGCTTGTCATCAAGAAATCAAATAATAACAAATGCTGACAAGGCTGAGGGGAAAGCAGAACCCTTCTGCGTTGTTGGTGGGAATGTAAACTAGTACAACCACTGTAGAAATCAGTAAGGAGATTCTTCAAAAAATTATCTTCCCCAAAGAGTTAAAGATCTTACTGTGATCCATGCCCTATGCTTATTGTAGTACAATTCACAGAGCTAACTCTTGGAAGTGACCTGTATGTATGTCCATCAGTGCATGAATGGATAAAGAAAATGTAGTATTTACACACAGTGGAGTGCTACTGGGCCATACAGAAGAATGTTTGAATCATTTGTAGGAAAACAGATACACCTGAGACCATAATGTTAAGTGAAGTCAGACACACAAGCTTAAACTTCACGTGGTTTCTCTTGTTTGAGAAACCCAAAGTGTAAATAAAGAGTCGAATAAAAGGTAGGTAATAGGAAACAGGGAGACAGATCTTTTGCATGTAAAAAAGGGACGAAGGGTTGGAGGGAGAGGAAGGGACATAAAAAGGATTAAGATGTGTTATGCTTATGTACCAACTCCCTGCAACAAATGTTATCATTATGGACTGCAAGCATGTACTAATAAAAATAAAAATTTAAGAGAATTATGGTTTATCCTCTTCTACCTTACTCACTAGATCTGGTATTATGCAACTTCTGGCTCTTGCCCAAAGTCAAAATGGTCATGAAAGGTCAATGTTTTGAATCAGTTCAGGACATTGAAGCAGCCACAACAGCCTGAATAAAGACACGAAAGAAGACCTCCAGAACAGCTACAGAATGTGACAAGAATGAGTGTGTTTGAAGTGAGCAGGAGTATTTTTAGGGGGATTAACAACAGTTTTTCTTTTATTGTTATAAAATTTTAAAAATTTAAACATTCAACATATTTTCTCATCACATGTCATATAGATACCTAGGAATGTAGTGACATTTACATATTGCTTCTGTTTTCTGTAAATTCTCTTGGGTGTTATACTTACATAGTCTCCTGTCCTTTGGGAATAATAAAATTTTTTTCATCTTTTAAAATTTGTTTTCCTTCTTTTAGCTGCAGTTCCCCAGATACTGTTTAATGGAATTGGTGATGATAAGCATGTTTGTATCTTTTTTTCAAGGAAATTCTTGCAGTTTGCTTGCTGTCTGTTTTTGGTGGATACTCTTTATCAGATTGAAAATGTCCTTGCAACAAGCAGTGTTACAGAATGGACATAAGTGATCAAGAGTCCAGACTCTCTAGCTGGGCTCTCTGGATTCTGCTCCTAGCAGTATCACTTTCTTGCTCTTTGAATATGGACAAAACTCTTAACCTCACTGTACCAGTTTTCCCAGCTATTCAGCGATGGTAATAATAGTCACTATTTCATACATTACATAGTTGTAAAGATTATATGAATTAATATATGTAAATCAGTATTAAATGAGTTAATATGTATAAAATAATTTAAACATTGGTTGGCATCTTATAAATGCTATGTGTTTGCTGTTTTTACAGTTACTGTTACAAATTTTTGTTGTTTTTTTGTTTTAAAATTGTGAAAAGGCATTGAATTATTTCTGTAGCTGATGTTTGATGAATTCATTGGATTTTACTAGCACATTAGTATTTGTCACGTCCAAGAGTTTCAGATTTATACTGTGCCTAGGATTTAATTAGTATGGCTTGGCATATTTGATGGTAATTCCCTTTTATATTTATTTCTGGATTGCCTTGTATTAGTTTTGTTGATAATGTTGACCTTATCTCCTAACCATCCAAATATATAAGCATAATTTATCTGATGCCAGGGAAATGTGTTCATACACTTAACTTTTTAGCATGTATAGATTACTTTTGTGTGTGTGTGTCTCTCTCTCTCTATTTGTTTGTTTGTTTGTTTATTTACTGGTATCAGGGATCGAACTCGGGACCTTGTGCTTGCAAGGCAGACCGCAGCACTACTGAACTACATCCCCGGATATACCAACAGACCAATTGTGTATTTATAATTTTGAAATTAAGTGAGCATAATCATTTTTAAGTTACCAGATCAATTAACAGTTTTGGGTAGAATTTATCAAGACAATAAATTTTGTTTCTGAGTTCTCTTTTGAAAACTCATGAGTGTTGAAAAGCACAGCTGGGACTGGATTTATGGGCTGCCTTCTAACTTCTAAAAAGCTGAAGATTGACAACTGCTTTCATACTGCATTATCTAGCTTGGCTTTTAACTCCAAGAGAACTGTGTTCGCAAATTGATGCTCTGTTCCTTTGGGGTTGGCATAGAAGCATTAAATTGTACTAAAATATTCATATGTGAATGCATTTAGCTGAAAGCAATTGATGTTCTTTTCCCAAGAGGACAGAGAGAAATGCTGTATGGTCCCACAGACCAGAAAACACCCTAAGCATGCTTCTTAAAGGTAATTACATGGCCTGGATGATCAAAGCCCTTACAGGAATGTTTACAAGAACAAAGAAGAAGTGGTAGAGCTTATCAACCATGGCTTGGCTGTATAAGTTGTATAGTTGTGCATTTAATTACCAAAAATTACAAATTCTAATTATATTTTGGTTTGTTTTCTAAACTAATTTTTATTAGACTGATTTTGTTAAACATTTATTCCAGAGAACAAATATCAGTAAAGTTATTTCTTACCATTTTTATATAAAATTAGAATTTAAGTTTCAGAGAATGTACTGAATTCTTCTTTACATATATACCATAACTGCTTAAAAGCGTACTCTTTTAGAAATAATAAATTGACATATCTGGTAGATAGTCTTAACAGCTGGCATGAAAATCAGTAAGAGCAGACAGCACATCTTTATTTTAGCTATCTTGGTATGGTGACTTGAAAGGAATTAAACTACTCTAAATTTCTATTCTGAGAAACCAACATTGTGTAGTTTCTGTTCTTTCATATAAAAATTGTTTTCTTGTTCATAGTTTCAGGTATGATAAACATTCATACATCAGTGTGCTAGATGGAAATGTTTATTCAATAGATAATTGGTCATTTACTATATGTAATTCAGTACTTTCATTTATTTCATGGCCAAAGATGTAAGTACTAAGATGTACAAAGAACATATTAATCACTTATGTTAACTATATGTTAGTATTAACCAAATTTAGCTTGAAAGGAAGTGTGGGAAATGATTTTGGGGGACTGTAGGAATGTACCTCATTTCCTCAGAGTGAGATTACTTTAGAGCATCTCTAGTTTCATTTCAGGTGTACATGAAGTATATTTCCCACAGTAGAAAATCTGTGAATTAGTGTAAATTGAGTTAAATGCAAAGCATTTAATGTAAAGTATCATTAAATATTAAATATCTATTTTTATAGCACTGAGGATTGAACCAAGGGCCTTTGCACTGAGTCCATTTTGTTTTTTTAAATTTTTGAGTTTGAGGCAGGGCCTTGTTAAGTTAGCTAAGTTACCCAGGCTGTTCTTGAACTTGGAATCTTCCTGCCTCAACCTC